ATTATTCTATCAAGATCTTCATATAAAATCTTAGTTTTTAATGAGAAATAAGATTTTTATAAGGTATGTTAACAATTTCCTATTATATAAATACATTTTATCAATAATAAATCAAAAAAATTATTTATTGATACACAATTTTTATTCTATAAATAAGGTTAAAATTCAGGAAAACAGAAGAGACAAAATTTAAAATTGGATTATGGAAATTTCAATTGAAAAATCAAAAAAGCAATGAGATTCTTAATCATTTACATCAAATAAACTTATGTTGACAAATAATAATATTAAAAATTTAAATTTAATCACAGTGAATAAATAAATATGAAAACAGTTAAATTTAAACAGTCTCAAAACCGAAGCATTTACTCATTCAACACATACAAGTACAAAACACCAAGTGTTGTGACTTATTTATTATCATAAAATAATTAATTATTTCAATTTTTTACTATTTTCTTTCGAATAAAATTTAAAATAATTTAAAAAATGTTTTAGAAAGCCACCGACAAAAAAAATCATTAACTTAATCGCTTAATATCTTCCAAACTTCTCTAAGATCTCTATCATCTTTATCAAAGTTACAAACACTTTCTCTTCACCATACATCGAATCTCACACCGACACTGAGAAGGATTACGATCAGAAGACGACGAAACAACGGCTCGATAGCTGATCCAACAAGGGCTAAAGTGTTTCCAATCCGTGAGCGGCTCGCTTTTGACCGAAACATTGAAATTAATGAAGTCGTCTGACTAGAGCCGAGAGCAGGGTAAATTAGAGGTACACGGCAACCATTAGAATACTTAACGAGGACGTCATGGTGGGAAGCAGTGCGCGGGTGTGATGATGAATCACTGCCGGCTAGCTCACCGCGGAGCGCGCCCAGGAATATTAAATTAAGTTTACTTATTGTCGGCCAAAAAGTCTAAGCCGCCGTCCCTTCTTCATCCATGTTGGTTCCTCTTCGTTCTTCCAACGACGAGCTACGTTCGGATGATTTCACTGTTTCCTCGAAACATACGGAAGCAAATGGACGAATCCGACCGCAACGAGGGTAAAAAATTTTGGGGTAAAGAGTTGAAGAGAAGAAAGAAGCATTGCGGTTTCTTTTTTTTCTTCAGTCTTTTTTATTCCATTCGTCTGACTTGTTTTCTTTTTGTCGTCGCAGATATTCGTTATTCCTCGATGACATGGGTACATGTATATGCAAAAAGTGCAAAGATGAAAGTTATAGAAATTCTTCTCTTGTTATTATATATTTTAATTACCATTTACAACTTGGAAGGAGTAATTTCATATGGTTTAAAGTGGATATAATTACAGAATATTATTATGATTTATTCAATGCAATTTTGATTTGTTCTTAAATAATTGGCTATGATCATATTGTATCCATTAAGGTAAAAAAAAATTAAGAAATTAAAAAAAAAAGTATAAAGAAATTAAATTTCATATCACAAGAAATTTTTTACAGTTCAAAATGAACCTATATCTTGTCAGATAATGCCATCTCTCAGAAGAATATAATTCCTAATTCAAAACGTCATTCTAATGGATTCGAATAAGGCGGTAACAAATTCACGACGTAAATCCTCCAAACCTAAGTAATTCCCCCAATCACGGGGTAATTTATCAGAAGAAATCAGAATCCCAAAGAAATTCTCTTCCTTTCACGAGCCACCCGTACAAAGACAAGCGACAAAGGAGAATTCCATTGAATCTCGACGTGAACGTCCTGAGAGCTTTTACCTCTCCGCGTCAACCCTGCTCGCTGTCGCGATGAAAAGTACGCGTATCGCAAAAAAGGGCAGCGGTGAGGTTCGCCGCTCCTGAAGAAGAAGAAGAAGAAGAAGAAGAAGAAGAAGAAGAAGAAGAACCGAAGAGGTAAGAAGAAACTTGGGGCGACAAAAATGGACTTTACAGGGAGATCTAGAGAGACTTCGCTACCATCCTTTTTTTCCTCCCTATATTCTTTTTCCAATTGTCTTTTTTTTCCCTCCCTTTCTTCTCTCTCCCTCTCTCTCTCTCTCATTTCTTTCTTTTCTCTTTTTCTTTATCCACTACCTCCCTCTTCGAGGCCCAAGTCGTTCGGGTTAGCGTCTCCTCCGGAGTTGAAATATACAAAATGAAATATGAAATAATGGTTCGTGCCTTGTGGCTGGCTAAAGGCACGGGCGCACCCATATCTACGCCCCCATGCGCCTATGTACCTATACGGCCCGGTATACGCCGATCCCGTGTACATATGTACGCGCACACCGTATACATATCCGCCTCGCTCAAGTTTTTCGTTCTTGTCGTGAACATCTTACGTTCGTATTAACCCTTATCCATGCTTAATGATATTCCGGCCTACTATGCCCGGACGGGCATATTGAACGCAACTAAGGCAGATTCCAGTCGAACGAGGAACGGCCGGCCAAGCCCTCCTGTAATTCGTATCTGCGTTCAACCATTTTTCCGCTTCCTCCAACCAGCGAAAGAGGACCAAAGACGACCACGACGACGTCTGGCGGGCAATTAGGGACCAGACTCGTGGCATGAATTAAAGAGTATCGATGAACAATCGAGCAACGAGCGTTCGTCCTTATCGATCCACGAAATAACGCCGCCGATACTTTTGCTTCTTTAGTGGCACCGAGATTGGATTGGTTGTATGTAGGAATAAGTGAATGCGGATCTTAGGTGGAAGAATTTATAGGTTCGCGGTGAAAGATTGGATTCGATTGGTGTAGCGTTTGGGTACGTATCTGTGTATATGTTATAGGTAAGATGGAGTTATTGCCTTTTTGTGATTGGTCGATATGGATGATTGGTTATATGGAGTTGTATAGATAAGATAGATTGTGGACATTTGTTTTTTTTTTGGGCTTGATTTCGTTTTTTGTTTTTATAGATCTTTGGATGAGAGTAGATTTTATTTATTTTTCTCGAACTATCGGTTTTCGGAATTGTTGTATTAATTTTGGTTAGTTTTTAAGATTTTTGAACGAAGGTAGATCGTAGATTGTGTGTAGTTTGATGTGATGGTTTTTAGAGGTTGATAAAATTATTGATATTAGTCGGATCAAAAGGCGCGAAATTTGAAGTTTTTTTTTTTTTTTTTTTTTTTTTTTTTTTTTTTTTTTTTTTTTTTTTTAAGAAGAGAGATTAGATTGCTGTGATGAAATTAATACGTTGTTTGCTACTTCGAAACTAATATATAGTATATTATTATATCCAACATTTATTGTGTAATCATTTGAAAATGCAAATGTGTATTTTTAATATGTGCAATATACGCTTCTTCCTTTTCCTGTTTATTTCAATTAAACTCAACGATAATATCAGATTTTTAACTATCAAGATTTTACAAATAAAAAATATTTAAATACATTGACGCAACATTGATTATCATTTTAAAAATATTATTATTAAATATTATTAGATATAAAATTTTTAAACAAAAGCGCAAAATTAATTATTTTTTCTACTTTGTTAATTGGTTAAAAATGAATATTTAATGAATATTAAATCAAATAATATTCCATATGCAAAGAAAAATAACAAGTTTATGACATTTTATGATTGGATGCAAAGTTTATATCTTTATTTATCTATGTACATAGTTCAATCCGGTCTGGATTGAAACATTCAAAGAAAATTTCTTGTTTTATGAATAATTCCTTTAGTAAAATGTTTTATGACAGAAATTGAAGCATTTCATTTCATATGCAACTTTGAATGCTTCCATTTTGATTCCATTTCAAAAGATTGACTTTAAGATTTCTTGCATGAACAATTGAAATATAATTAATATAAATTAGAAGATTGATCTAGAAATATAATAAACAGATCAGACATGAATATTGAATATATGCATATAAAACTTTTTTAATGGTGTTAAAAATGAAATCATTTTTAATGATCCTTTCAATGTAAATGAATTTTGCAAATTCAGATCTCTTGAATTAATCAATAATTAAAATAAAATATTAAAGAAATATAAATTTTAAATCATTCTTCACTAATAATTAATCCTCTGTAATATCCTTTAGTTCAATTCAAATATTTTCAATATTTTAAGCTTTTTAAAAATCCTCATTCATCATTATTTCATTTCATTATCAGTTAAGATTTATTTATAATTATTAAAGAAGCTTTATGAATAAAAATCAGAATAGAAATTAAGAAATATATAGAAAGTTGAGAAGGATGGAATTATTAATATTATAAAAAAAATCTATAAAAAACCAAAATATTAAAATATCTCTCTCTTCCTTCTAAAAAAAAAAAAAAGATCTATCTAACCAGAAAAAAGATTCACCATCTTGAAAACTTCTGTTCCTCAAGGTATTCTTGAAAAAAGAATTCAAATAACCATTTCCTTACACCCTTCCTTTACAGCACATGCAACCACATGTAACATTACTCATCAAATTTTTATTGCCTTTCACGCCGCCCCCTGAATTCAGGAAGACCAGTGGTAAGCATCTCGGATATACCTCTACATACAGTCTCGTTCAAAAGTCGCAGAAATCGCAAGATAAATTCTCACAACAAAAATTATATTTTTAATAAAAATTTAATGTTTAAATCAATCAACTTTAATGAAAATTTTTAATAAATATATTAATACATAAGCATCTGATTTATTTATTATATTATAATAATATATTTAATTCGTTACTTAAGTTTTTATAATTTTCAAGCATTACAAAATATATCAGATAAAGTAGAAAATTTAATAGATGATTTTTTAAAAATTCAAACGATATTAAATTATTTTTCTTAAGTTTTGAGCAATTTATTTTTGTTTCATCATGCGCAGAATCTAATAAACTCATCGCTTAGAATGATCCTTAACTTTTTTCATCCTATGTATGACGTAAGTGATATAACAAATGATCTAAGACTTTTGAACAAGGGTGTACATACTGTACATAACCTAACATTGCAATGTCGTATCGAAAATCGTGGCACCGTTGCAGCTAACGGACGACCCTCGTGTATTTCAGGAAAGAAATGGCGAGGGTTGACCCCGCAGGACAGAAGGCCGTACGTCGAGGAAGCCGAGAGGCTGAGGGTCATACACATGCAGGAACATCCGAACTACAAGTACAGACCACGGCGCAGGAAACACGCGAAACGGGCCCCAGGAGCGCCCTCTTCTCCTCCATCGGCGACCAATACCACGACCAATAGGTCCAACCCCTCTGGTACCACGATTCATCATTCCATGTAAGTCCACGTAACATCGAACTTCGTCCGCCATTTTTTAATTATTATCCGAGTAATTCGAATTTTAATTTATTTATTACATTTATTATATTAATTTATTTAATTAATTCGAATAACTCGATGTGAATTTTGCGATTAATTTTTATTGTTAATATTCCTTTAACAAGAATAAAGTTCATCGAATAACAGATAACTAGGATTAGGATAATTGCACATTGCATACTTATAACGAAGACGTGGTTAGTTTTAGTAATGAGATGCACTACTTTCGTTATGTGATTAGATATATCCTGGTTAAAAAAAGTACATACTTTGCACATACTTTTTATTTTTCAAATGAAATTTACTAATATTTTACTAATATTAACTATTTATATTTATAACTATTTATAATTATTTATATTTATAATAGTTAATATTTACTAATATTTTCAGTGTTAATTATTGTGCAAGTATATTGTTAAAACAAATTAATTAATTCAAATAATGCTTCAAACATTCCATTTCTCTTTTTTTTGTTTTATCTAACAAGTAAATTTCGTTCGCGTTAAAAGCGTTCCTTGAAGAAAGAAATACGAAGTGACGTTTGATATTTATTTAAGGTCTAAGATGGACAGTTATCAAGGCATTCCTCAGATCCCGTGGGGCGGCCATTCCCCGATCTCATCCCTGTATCACCAGCAGCAACAGCAAGGTATCCAGGAGTACAAATCGGAGAGCAATTCCTTGTACGGTAGTCCTTATACGCCTATCATTCACTCACCGGACATATCTCCAGTTGCCAGTCCCGAGCCAGATGGTGAGACCTTGTACTCGCATTAATTATCGTTCAGACAGCCATGGAACTTGTGGAATTATATTTGTATAAATTATCACTATTATTTTACAAATTGGATATATAATTTTTTTTATGATTTTTTCTTTATTATATATAAAAAAAATATTTTATTCATAGAATTTTATACTGCAATTATATATATATATATTTTTTAATGTATTCTATTGTCATTAGAATTTTTTTTATATTGGGAATATTTTGAACAGAAAGTTATTAACAATGAAAGATTTTTTTCATTGAAAATTTCTACTTCAATGATTAATATTTTTTGAACAATTAATATTTCAATTTGAAATTTTCTTTTTTAGGTTTTTTAAGTTTTATTAAGAAAATGTATAATTCTTTTGTTTGTTATTTCTATGTAACTGTCGAGACAGTATTAAAATTATTAATTTCGATGCATGAATTTCGGTAATCAGGTGACGGAACGCATTTGCCATCAAACCAAAATCCAGATCCTGAACGAGATCTGATGGAGGGTTCGTCGAAGCAGCATAGCGAAATAAGCGAGCAAACGAAACGGTACACTTTCATGAGTACCGATAATCAGTTGCACACGGGTCATGCTGGTGGTACTAGCATATCGTCGTGTCAGAATTCTGGTGCTTACACAGATACTCTGACTTACAAAAAATCAGTGAGTAATGGGGTGCATACAAATGATCTTGTTGGGAACTAGGAGGACAAATATAGGTTCCTTTACTTGGTTGTAATTAAAAAATTTGAAACACAATATAATTAAAATATTTCATTTCATAAATTTAAAAATTAAATATCAATCTCTCAATAAGAGAAGAGAAATTTCAAACTAATATCTAATAACGCAAAAATGTTTTATCAAAAATCATTTGATTCAATTTTAAAAGTTTAATTAATGAAATAACTTTATATCTTCCCTGACATAATTGTATTTATTTATATTATCCTAACGTCTTAATTATAATAGTAAACGAAACACACACGTGAGTGAAAGTTCCAACCGTAAGTCTTTTTTTTTGTCTTCCAGGTGAGTTACTTAAATTTCGAGAGACAGCCGTCGAGCATAGCCGCGGTCGGTATAGCGAATGGGATGATGGTGTCGTGTAATAAATTACGCTCCGGATTTGAGAATGTTGGCTCTGTGACGGGGACTTTTTATCCGCCGGTCGCATCCCCGCACGATCAATCGTTGCAGCACTATACGAGCACCCAATCCTCAAAGACTGCCAACTATTCGATGCAGTCCTCCGTCGAAAGCAACTATAATCCTGTTCAGTGTGCCAATCGACAACAGTCTATGGGGATACGCGGAGCCGCCGAAGGTTGTTCCGGTAATCCTTTATTCCTTCTTACGCCATGTTACACTTGGAATTCATCCAATGATCGATTATACGCAATTAGAACGCTATTATGTTCCT